TGCTAAGTTGCGCTAGAATAATTATCCCCATTTTACAGATGAGGAAACTGAGACTCAGAGAGCCCAACTGACTTAAAGGTCTCACAGTATTGGAGTGTCAGGGATAGGATTTGAATCCAGTCCTTATGTCTTAGCCACTGTGCTGACCTTGGGGCACCACTTCACAACTTCCTGTTGGGACAGTGGTACCAAATGCAGCTCTCCCGTCCTTCATTGATTCGTTCAACAAACATTTATAAAGTAAGTGCCTGCTAGGCAAAGTACCAGACCAAAAGGAAACAGTCCCTGCCCTGAAGAAGCTAATGTTCTAATAGGTTCAAATGTGAACTTAGACGCTTACTAGCTGTGTAACCATGGGCACGTCACTTAACCTCTGTCTGCCTCAGTTTCCTCATCTGTAAAATGGGGCTAATAACAGCATCTACCTCTCAGGATTGTTGTGAGGATCTGATGAGATCATATTTGCAAAGTGCCTTGCAAACCTTAAAGCAATATTTACATTTTAGTTATTAGCTATTATGGGGGAAACCGCATGTACATAAATGAAGACAGAAAATGAAATATATACACATCTGTGGAGTAATTTTACAGAAAGAAGACACTAGGAATTGGAGTAGCAGGGCGGGGCAGGCATCAGCGGGGCAGGCATCAGCCGGGCAGGGCGCTGTCAAAGCGAGGAAATGAAAACATTAAAAAAATAAAAGCAACCTAAAAGCCCCTGAACTTTCCCATACATTTCAGCAGCCTAGATCTCAGGCTTCAGGGGTCCAGGTCCCATCCCCATCATTAGCAGGGACTGTGAGAATAAACCCTGGGATGATCAGAAGGTCAGGAGGAGAATGGGACACAGGACAGAAAAGGAGGCAGAAAGGGGGAAGCTGAGAGTGGCGGGGGGGGGGGGGAATATTTATATAGCACCTACTGTGTGCCAGGCATTGTACTAAGCATTTTCTAATTATTGTCTCATTTGATCCTTACAATAACCCTAGGAGGAGAAGTGCTGTTATTGTCTCCATTTTACTGTTAAGGAAACTGAGGCAAACAGAGGTCAAGTGATGTGCCTAGGGTTAGACAGCTAGTTAAGCATCTGGGGTTGGATTGGAACTCAGGTCTTCCTGGTTCTAGGTCCAGTGCTCCATCCAGTGCACTGAGTAGCAGCCTCTAAGACTCCTGGCTTCCAGCCCTGAACTCAATACTGAAGTGCTGCACCATCTTGGGCCAGCTCAAGGCACTCACAGGAAGCCAGGAAGGTCAGTAGTTGGAGAGAAGAGGAGGAGAGAGTGTTCCAGGCAGGGAGGATAGTAAGAGAAAATTCCCTGAGTGGAGAGATGGAGGGTCTTGTTTATGGAATGGCCAGGAGGCCATGGTGAGGGGAAGAAGCAGCCTGTGCAAAGTTGGAGGTGGGGGAAGGGAATAAGCATTGTAGAGCACTTACTATGTGCCAGACACTGTGTTAATTGCTTTTACAAATATTTTCTCATTTGATCCTCATAACCCTTGGAAGTAGGTGCTATTATTATCCCCATTTTACAGATGAGGAAACTGAGGCAGACAGAGGTTAAGTGACTTGCCCAGGGTCACACAGCTAGAAAGTGTCTGAGTTCAGATTTGAACTCAATTCTTCTTGACTCTAGGCCCAATGCTTGGTCCACCACACCACCAACTGGAAGTAATCTGTCCATCATTAACACTTCTACCCAAAGCAAAGACGGTGGGGACTCTATTAAGGGAGAAAAGAACTCTCAGTGACAAGATTCATAAAGGTGTCCCTTGGCCCTCATGATCCTTATGTGTCTACCTCATTACCTTTGTACTCTAAGTTTGAACCAACTTCCCCCAGACACTGCGTGTATGTGTGTGTAAGGGAGAACGTGCCTCTTGGTTTGGAGAGACGGGTGGGCAGTTGTTTTTATACCTTCTGTCCTTGCTGTACCTTCTCAATAAATATTCTTTTGTAAAAGCTAATCAAAATCAACTGGCTGATTGCGCTTGGGAAGCACACCACATAGGGGCTCGAGAGTGATAGTATTAGAAGCCACAACCCCTCCAAGTTATCCCTAGAACTTTAAATGGAGCAATAGTCATCTGCCCTCGGGGGAATTGGCCTTCCAGGATGAAAGAGTGACCTCAAATGAGGAAACTGAGGCAGACAGAGGTTAAGTGACTCACCCAGCAAGTGCCAGGTTTGAACCCAGGTCTTCTTGACTCCAACTCAGGCTCTCCATCTTGTCACTTGTCTTATTTTGCTTTTCTATTTAAGTTTCTGTTTCCTGAGCACTGTCTGCTCTCAGCTGTCCTTCCAGAGATAACTTGTGACACCACAAGGCCCCCTCCTTTCTGCCTTCCTGCCCTTGCACAACACTAGATAAGTCACAAGGCTCTTGCCAGTACTTTTCCATTCAGCCTCCTTTGAGGTTGAAAACCTTGGGGAAATACGCGACTGGTTCTCATGCTCCTCAGCCACCTGTGGGACCCACAGCCGACCTCAGGGGCAGAATGGGGCTGTCACTCTCTAAGACTCCATGACCCCCTGCTCTGCATGGGGAGCAGAAGATAAACAGAGGGGGAGCATCCCCACGGATGAAATCCCAGATCTCTCTCTGCCCTTCTCTTTTTCCCTCTTCCCTTTCTCTCTCTGCTTCCTTCTCTCCTTCCCCTCCCTTGCCTTCTCTTCTTTCCCTTTCCCCACCTCTCTCTCTCCCCCGCCTCCCTCCCTCCCTCCCTCTCTCTCTGTCTGTCTCTCTTACTACCACCCTTCTTTCTCTCTCATTAGTCAACAAGCATTTATCAAGGACCTACTATGTGCCAGGCACTGTGCTAAGTGCTAGAGATACAAAGAAAGGTAACAGCCAGTCCCTGCCCCCAAGGAGCTCTCAATCTAGTGGGGGAGATGGCACAAAACAAGCCACTGACAGGATAAATTGTGAACGATTAACAGAGAGGAGGCTCTCGCATTAAGTGGAATCAGTAAAGGCTTCCTGTAGAAGGTGGGATTTTAGCAGGGACTTGAAGGAAGCCAAGAGGCAGTGATGAGGAGGGAAGGCATTCCAGGTAGGGGGCACAGCCAGTGAAAATGCCTGAGGTGAGAGATGGAGGGTCTTATTCCAGCAATGGTAAGGAGCCCAGTATCACTGAATCTAACAGTGCATGGGGCTTTAAGTGCCCCATTAGATTGTGCATGAGGGCAGGAACTGTCTTTTGCCTTTCTGCATGTCCCTAGTCCTTAGCACAATGCTTGGCATACAGTAGGTCCTTAATAAATGTTTATTTATTACTAGATGGATCTAACTCCTGACACCACAATAAGCGTATTGACCGACAGAGGATTTTACAGTTGATTCTGGAGGTGACAGGGAGCTGCTGGAGTTTATGAAGTAGGGGGATGCTATAGTCAGACCTGCACTTCAGGAAGGTCACTTTGACAGCTTGAGTGGAGGAAGGATTGGAGTGGGGAGAGACTTGAGGCAGACAGACCCCCCAGCAGCTAGTGCAACAGTCCAAGTGGGAGGTGATGAAGGTCTGCACCAGGGGGAAGGCAGTGTCAGAGAAGAGAAGGGGGCATATTGGAGAGATCTAAGTCTCTCTCTTGCAAGTTAGATGTAGAACCTGAAAGGAAGCAGCAGGTTACAGTAGATAGGGCACCGGGCTTGGAGTCAGGAAGACCTGGGTTGGAATCTCACTTTGTGCACTTCCTAGCTGTGTGCCTCTGGGAAAATCACTTGACCTCTCTGGACCTCAGTTTCTTCATCTGTAAAATAAGGGGGTTGTGCTTGACCACCTCTAAAGTGCTTTCGGGCTCTGATTCTAGGAGCCGCATAATTTCCCTGAGCTCCGATAGGCTGGTCCACCAATTCATGCAGGACAGCATGATCAGAGCAAGCTTTCTGAGTTAGTGATATGAAGGCAGCACAGTTCTGGGCGATGGGGAGGGTCACCCTGGGAGCCCACCTGCTCCAAGTGTCCCTCGGTGGAGTGACAAGCACAACTTTCCTTTAAGGCTCAGCCCAGGGGTCCCCTCTGACAGGTGGCCCTTCCCAGTTCCCCTAGCTGTCAGTGATCCTTCACTCTCTAAATCACTGGACTGACTTTATCTTTACTTTGTAGTGACAAATCATTGTAAGTGTTGCGTGCCTCTCCCTCCTCCCCTTCCTTAGAAGGGATGGCTCTGGGGGACATGAGAGCCGTCTCCAAGTATCTGCCAGCTCTTCGGGGTTCTGCTCGGCCCCAGAAGGCAGACAGAGATGCCAGGGCTGATGGAGGAGGAGAGCCTAGGGCTGAGTGGAGACAGATCCAATATACCTGTGGGGTTGGTAGAACTTTGCTGGGTAAAGCAATGAGCTGCCTGGTGAGAAGCGAATAGCCCATCTGTGCTCCGAGGAAGGGTGGATGACTTAGCAGTGATGTTGTCCAGGGGATCTAGGTCCCTTCCAGCCCGGAGATTCTGGGGCTTGAGGTTCATCACACCTCCCAGAAGTAATTCCGGGCACCATTGGTGGGGCGGGCCTGAAGACTTCTGGAAGCCTAGCCTTAGCCCAGAGAAAACGTGGGCACACCATTCCTGGGCCCATAAGGTTTTGTTTGCTGTGTCCCCTTGCCTAGGGATCAGGAAGGGTCACTTCTGAGTCTGAGAGGAAAGAAGACAAGGTCTGGAGCCCGGGTTGGACCAATCTTGGGGGGGCCAGACCAGGGCTCTTAGTTCTCCCTTCTAAATTCCCCCATTGAGCGCTCAGAAGTCTTTCCAAAGGCCAGCCCCCCAGCGCTTCTAGGGGAGCGCCTGTATTCCTTTTTCTCAGCACCAGTGGAAGCCCCAGCTGGTCAGAGCTCCAGGACCCCACCAGCCTCAGGCTGAGCCCGCCTACCCAGAGCTCAGAGCCATACTAGCTCCACCCTAGGCTGGGCCCTGGATCTCAGACCTAAGCACGTCCCCCAGGGGCGTGGTGGTACTTGCTTTTTAAATCTTTGGACATCAAAGAGCCCACCTGGCCAGACACACAGGCTGTCTTTCTTCTTTATTTTTCTCTTTAAAAATAAAAACAATACACTCTTTTCCTTCACTTAAGAAAAATAATTTCCCCTTCCCTATGGATCAGCAGTGATCCCAGCAAAGGGTGATTCCAATTACTCTGATTAGCCGCTGGGTGGAGGGGTGGGGTGGGCCCCCCCTCAGAAGCCAAGGCTTCCTGGAATCCCCTCTGGGCTCAGACCATACCCCTCTCCCCCCTGTCTGCTTCCTTCCTCATCTTCAGAGTGAATAGTCCCTAGGAATGGCAGAAGTCAATTAGGCTCAGGTCTCAGGGCATGGGGGTCTCCCCCAACCCTCTTAGTTTAGTCTGGTTGGCTCTGGTCCCAGCAAAGCTTCCATCAGAGTTTACAAGGTGGGCAGGTAGAGGCTCTGCTGAGATCCTGCATTCTGAGAAGCTAAGACCGCAAGCTCCCTGAGGGCAGGGACTAGCTCTGCTCCTTCTCACATCTTCCCCCTGGCTAGGCCTGGCTCAGAGTTGAGGGGAAGATTCAGTAATGATTGGCTGAATAAGTGGGCAGAACTCAGTGGCATCTAATCAGGGTGGTGATTGGGAAGGCCAAGGAGAGAGGTCAGCAGGCATCCCCAGCAGGCCTCGGCTCTCTCCCATTCACTCTCTCTCCACCTCCAACCCCACTGGGTCTTCAATGAGTGTGTGAAGGATGGGTGTGCATGGATGCACAGCATGAGAAGGAGGGATCTGACTTGGACACACACTCCTTCATGTTTCTCTAACTGGTAACTCTAGCTTTAAGCAGTGAAAAATCCTGAAAAGTGGTTTTCCCCGAAGGGCTTGACCAAAGGGCTGGATCTGCTCTAGCTGTGGGCAAGAATCTAAGAATGGTCTCTTCAATCCAAATAGCTTTTTCTGTGGTGCCCTGACAGCCTAACATTGGCCTCAGGAGCCCAGACTGGCTTTGCCCAAAGATGTCTTTGCAAGGGCTCTCAGCTGATGGCTTCTATCTGGGCCAAAGACACAGCAGCGGCAGCTCAGACTATACAGCGCAGGAGAGCTTGGCTGGACGCAAGCAAGGCCTGCTTGGTTGCTGGGCTTGTGGTCAATCCCCTGAAAATGACTTCTTGAGGTGGGGAGGGACAGGGGGCCTCTGAGAGCAGCCGGGCCCTCCACACTGCCCCCTCCCTCCCAACACAGGCGCAGTGAGGGCTGGATGAGATGATCTCTCCTAGGAAAGCCTCAGGCTGTGAACCAGAGTTGGGTAGGGGGCCTTCAGGGCAGCCAGGACCAGGGTCCCAACTGTTCAGGGAGCCACCTCTTAATCCTTGGTCCTACAGGTCTTCCCTGGGGGAAGGAATAATGGCACAGACACCCCCCTCCCCACTTACTGCTGCTTCTGTACGAGGCACGAGGCCCTCAGCTCTGACACATGAAGCCAGGGAGTCACACAGGAATACACAACCACACACATACACAAAGGGCAGGAGCCACATCTACACATAGAGCTAGGCACAAGAGCCAGTCAGTCAGACACACAGCCCTCAGCTCAGGGCCTGGCACACAGAAGGCCCTTAATAAATGCTTCTGGACTTCACTGACAGCCCCTTGAAGGCAGGTGATCTCACAGCATCACACACAACCCTCCTGGCTCTGGCCCCTACACTTCCTAAGAATTGTTGGTTGTAATTATACCTCTACATCAGCTACCTCCCTGAAGGGCTCAGGGGATTTGCCCGGATTGGGGTAAAGGTGGGGAAGGTCTCCCAAAGGAAATTTCAGATTCATGATCCCCTCCCTCGCAGCAATTTCTGAAGCTTGTCCCTTTTCTGTCTGTCTGTCTTTCTTCCTGGTCCTTCCCGACCACCTTCCAGCAGGAGAGAATGTGGGCAGACTCTGGAAAATGAAAACTGGAATTTGGAGGGCCTCAGGGAGGGGCACCAGAGGAAGAGAGTGCTGTGGGTCCTCCATGTCCACAGTCATGGGAGCGGTCACCTTTTCCCCACCAAGGTCCCAGGAGCTCTAGGCCAAAGGTCAGCATCTTCCCCAAAGTGGCTGGGGGCTCAATGACAGATCCTCTCTGTCATCTCTCTCTGGAATGTCAAAAGCATGGACAAAGAAGGTCAGGACTGAGGATCAGGAAGCCCTCAGGCCTGTTCTCTCCCCACCCCCACTCCCAGTACATTCCTCCCTTGAGAAGGTTGTGCTCTCATACTCTGAGACAGTTCTCCAGTGTGTTCTCTGGGCTTTATGAAGGTCTGTGGCAGTGAAATGGTGAGGGGAAGGATCCCACTGTAATAAGAGTGACCTCTGTCTCCCCATTTATCTAGTTAGAAGTTTATACATTAGGCTTCCTTACAGCAAACCACCCCTAAAACCATCAAGCCCCAAACAGAGTGGCCAAAGACGTGAGACTACGTTCCTCCTGCCACAAAACCACAATGTGGACAGGACTGGAGAGGAGCCCCGCACTGCCCTCGATGGGTAGAGGACAACACAGTATCCACAGAGAGAGGGGCAGAGTCTTCCCAGGCAGGGCAACGGCTCCTGCATTAGATATGAAGACATGGAGCCTGAGAAGGAGTGAGCCTAAAAGCAGGAGACCTGGGTTCAAACCCTGGCTCGGATGTTCACTAGCTCTGCGACCCTGGGCTCCTGTGCCCTCAGTTTCCTCCTCCATGAAATGGGGCTAATAATGGGCTTTGGGGGTTGAGGAGTGGTTTGTAAGCCTTAAGGCCCTGAGAAATAGACACGGTGGGCAAGGAGGCAGGAGGGCCTAGAACACCTGCAGCAGGGGAGAGGCCTAAGGCCTGTCTTACCAGTGGCTCTAGCTCCCGGTGGTCCACGAGGCTGAACTCCTGGATGAAGTAGTAGAAATGCTTGTAGCAGGTGTTGACGTGGGCCTCAGCACCCATGGCGATGATGCCATCAAAATGGTGGATGTAGACGTGGACAAAGACACGGAAAAGGCGGGTCAGGATCTTGGTGCACACTTGCTGGAAGTTCTTGGGAAAGGGGACCCCTGCAGGTGAGGGAGGAAGAACTGATTCA